AAGAAAACATTTAGCGACTTGAGGTTATAAAGCATTCTCGAATCCTCAAATTGTCTAATGTCTCAAGGGTTTGGTTGGGAGATACTAAGCTGGGATACTCCAAACAAGCTGCCTTTGCTCCCAGGCTCTGCCTTCCTTATGGGCAACTTGGCCTCCTACCTTTAGAGCCTTTATCTTGCCCTGGATTCCTCCACAAAGCAGGTAAGAAATTGGTCTGTTTAGTGACATTCATACAGGTTTTTAAAATACGAAAAGGCAAAAGAATCTTTCTCAGTCAGAACACAGCTATAGTCTTTGCAAGTCCTGAAAATAGCACATAATAAATTATAAAAAATTTAAATTCTTAATTGTCTCAATGTTTTCACATGTACTAGAGCAAAACATGTTAATTGAACAAGACTAGTTTGGGGAACTATGTCCCTAAAACGTTAATGCTTTGTAAACAGGGAAGGTTTAATTGTTCTGATTTTTCCACGAGATGAAAATTCCTTCTTCCCTCATTCCACTAGGTAAATACATATCAAATAGGGAGAAGTTTTCTATGCCTTCAAAGTGTACTTTTGAAAGGTTTTTGTAAGCCTATTTGGAGAAAACTAAATTAACTTGACCAAGACAGATTTTCCATGTCCCCAAAATGTAAAAATTAAATCAAAACCAATGTATAAACCCATCAGTGAATGGTTATTTCTAGGTTGGCCATGGCAGGATACGGTGGACACCAGCACAGCACAGGCCAGGATCCCCACACGGGATTCTATGGGAACAGTCAGGCGGACGCCAGCAAGTCCAGAGCTCAGAGATTACATCAGAGAAAGCACTAGATCTATACCAGACAGCTGAGGAGAAGGAATGTGAAACGCTGAAAACATATCACCTAAGGAAAGAAAATCAAACAAAGCAAGGATGGGTCAAAGGGAGGATCTAACGAGTTCAGAATGCGTATGACACAGGCAAGCAAGTACACAAGCACCTCCAGTGAACTCTGACACCTGTGCATGCGGCCTTCCACCCTTTGTGGTACTTGCCCTACTGGTGAGGGTGCCAGGTGTAGGAGTCAGGTGTTTGTTGTTAGGAAAAGGCAATCAAAGGCACACAGATAAACTCTGTCCTTGATTATCAAACCCCAGGACCCAGTTACTGGAAATTAGCTTACGGATGCTGCATGCTGCCTCACCTATTTCTCCAAGCTTATTTGGCTATCCCAAAGACTATGAATAAGGATTCCAGTTTGACTGTAGATCTTGAAACAGACATCTAAGGAAGCTTTGATAATCTAACCCCTTTACACAAGGTAATGAGAAGATTTTTCCGATTCTCTGTAAGGCAGCTAATTTCCTAGTGAGTTTCATCAGCACATGGGATTTTGAAATAACACATCTCATCCACTTTTGTAAGAACTTCTCAAAGCTGAAAGGGGAGTTATGAGCCCCTCTGGTCCCTATCCAGCTGATGAAAGTGGACATGGCCTAAATCCACCAGGCAATTTGTTCTGGATCCATTTGTCCTCTTAACCTACAGAAAAAAAATCTGCCCTAAACCCTAAAGATCCAAGTTTACTCCTTCCACGCTTCCTTTTCCCTCAAAACCAACTATTTTGCTTTGATGTGGATAGAACCAGTAGGAAGTTCCCCTCTGCACCTGTCCATCCAGCTGCCTTCACTAATATGAGTCCTGCTATGAGACACCAGATGAGTTCCCACACTTCCTCCTGTCTCCACCAACAGAGGTCTAGATTTCCCTATCAATTCTATGCTCCCCTCGAGCATCTCCAACCCCAATGCAACCTGCTTATCCAAACATTAGGCAAACATCTCTAAGCAGTGGACTCTGATCCACTAATGGATAATGAGTTTTTCAGAACACTGAATAGGAACAGAAAGCATAGAAAGAGAAACAGAAAACAGAATGCTATGCAGGGTAAGGGTATGTATCATTTCATGAAACTGGTTTCAGACTCACATACACTTACTTACATCCTGGGTCTTGGTCCAAAAACCCATTTTGTACTGTGTTGTAATCCGAAAACTCTGAAACACTGCTTTAGACAGCCTTTATCCCTGTAGTCAGACTACCCCCTTGCTATCCATCCCACTGCTCGACAAACTCCCTTCCCTCATGCTAGCTCAAGTTCTGAACAGACTTCCAGCTGTCTTCTTCACCCGCTGTTTTCACAAACCTTGGCCTTTTACAATGATTCACAAGCTCCTTCTCATGTATCCAAAGGATCGCCTTCTCCTTGAACAGACCAATGTTCTGAGGAAAAAAAAAAAAACAAAAAACAAAACAAAACTCCCTTGCTATTCCTGCCTTCTTTTCAGGTCTGGGATCTGCTTGCAGAACATCCAACTGTCTCACTATGAATAACAAACCTCGGAGCAGTAGGACTCCATTTCTTTGTGTGCTACCTTTCATCTCCAACAAGATAAAAAAAAAAAAAAAGAAAAAAGAAAGAAACACCACCAAAGTCACTCTCAATACCTTAGGTTTTCTTACAAAATTAACCTCACTTTCCTGATGTAATGTGTTCTCAGGTGTAATACATTGAGTGCCTGAGACCAATGCCAGGTGAATATAGCTCATCTCCAGTGGTGAGTTAAAGTCTGGTCCCCATCCTTGAGAACAGATGGTTACTCCACCTCCATACTGCCATCTTCCTCTTGCAAGGCAAATGGAAGGAGGGGAAGCACAGCAAGGTGGCTCTCCCTGTGTGGTGGCATCCTTTCCTCTCTCAAGGACGAGGGCACAAGCTGTCCAGCACAACTCCACCACTCCCCGCCCCTGCCTTTCCTTGTCCAACTGCCCACAATTCTCCCCAAGACCATTCATTCATTATCTCCCTCCATAGGAAAACTAGTTTTGTGTATCTTCCTGTATACTGTTCAGTTTACTTTTTTCAGCCAAAATGACTACCCTGCTTTTTAACCTTCCAAGAGATATCAAAGCCAATATGTAGGACATGGAACACTAAGTTGAGAAGAAGGGGACAAGGAGACACTGAGGTCTGAAGGTTTCTTATGAAACCTGCTCAGTTTCCTCTCATACTTGGAATGCCAGCTCTGCCGGTGGAACATAAACCTAGGGTAGTCCCCTTGCAGAGCACTAGGGGAGGAAAGAGCTGCACTTGACTCAGAAGGGCAAGAAACTTGCTCAGAGGGAAAGAGAAAGGGAAGTAACACCTAGGGCACTTTCCAGAATTTGCCAGGAAGTTCCATCGCTGGTCCCTTTCTGTAACCCATCCCCTTTCTCACTTCTGAGTTGGGAACCTGGGGGCTCCTTCACTACCTCTCTGGTTGCCGGACTACCAGGCAGGCCCTCCATTCCCCCACCCCACACCCAACCACACCAAGTCCTCCTCCCTAGTCCTTTGGTGGGAATGCTCTTCATCAGCACTCAGTCAGGCCTCTGTTTACCTTGGTAAACAAATGAATCTCTCTCCATTGGTGATTTCAGAGAAGGAAGGACAAGATAGGCCGACTCTTGTGTCCATACTCCAGGGTGTATTGAGAAGACCCAGCTTCTTCCGGGTAGCTTCAGCCCTTGACCCCCACCATTCCTAGGCACCTCCAAGTACTCAGATTTAGCTTGGAAGAGCCATTTTTCCTTCCCGTAAAGAGGCTTACAGTTAAAGTGATAGGAACAGAAAGCTCATCGTGTACACAATTACGACCGGCTGAGCAGCTGGATGCCAGATGTCCAGCTCTAGACAGGTGAAATTTGTACAAGATCACACAGTAAGGATTCCAACACTGGAGGGGGGTATTGTGGCAAAAGGAGTCGCAGGGGTAGGAGGAAAAGATGCGCTCTGTAAATATATTCTCTGGGTCATCTGATGGCATTGGGGGGGGGGTGGAGTAAGTCAACTAACGTCCACTGTTCCTGGAGCCATTCTTTCTAATTTCCTAGCATTGCAGGAGTCCACTTGTCTAATTTAGTTTCATCCCTACAATTAAATGAAACGATTAACAAGGGAAAAAAACCCTCTACTTCACACTTAGAAGGGAATGGAGGTTTTCGGTCATATTACCTCAACTGGCTACATAAAGATGAAGCTGCATCCCAACCTACCCCATTGCTCACACAGCAGTTATCTCTCAACACACACACAATCCCAGATCGATTTTTCTCAACTCCATTTATGACTGAAGATTTCACTAAAATGACAGCTTTTTTTCCTGCTTCACACATCAACTCCTAACATCCACACAAACTCTCCCCTCTTGTCCCCAAACTGGTATCAGAGTCACTTAAACATTGTCAAAGATCACTCCTTAGGAACAATTTTATAGTGTCACGTAAACATGTGAGCTGCATTAACACTCACATGTGGACCACTGAGGGGGAAAAACAAAAACAACAAACTCCTGGCCCGCAACAGCGACCCTTTAAGGAACTTCGACAATTCTAAGCACTTTCCCGGAGGTTCCCCCACACTCTTGGGGCTGTAGGAAGATGCTGGCATTATGGATCCCATTTCCCGGCGGGGTAAACCGAGGCTTTCAGTGTAATGAGCTCACCGGGGCTGCCACAGCAGAGCTGTAGATGGAGCCCAGGATCTTTCCCAGTAGACTCTTCAGCACGAGGCGACTAAAAATGGGACCCACTTGAGAACGACCAGGGTGAATAAGAGCGTGTTGTTTTCTGTAGTTGGGGGGTGCGAGAGGGGGAGACTCACCCACTCGGCGCACCCGGTGGGGCCCCGGCCTCCCACGAGAAGGCCCCCGCTGCCCCCGCGCCCCCCGCGCCCCCCCCTCCGGGCCGACACCGCGGGGCGCGGGCCCGAGGATGCTGCGCGGCCGCACACCTGCTGCACCCGCGCCCCCGCCGCCCTCGCGGGGCGCCCACCCGGCTCCGCGCGCCCCAGCCGGCGGCCGCGCTAGGCCGGGACGGGAAGCCGCGGCGCCCCTGGCCGCGGGCTGCGCGGGGCTGCGCGGGGCTGCGCGGGGGACCGCGGGGCGCAGCGAGCCCGCCCTCGGCCCCGAGCCCCCTCCAAACGGCGTCACCTGTGCCGGGTCCCGGGGCGCCTGGCGCGCGGGCGGCGGTGCACGGGCCGGGAGAGCGACGGGCGCCGCCGAAGCCTGGTCCTGCGGCCAGAGCCCCCCGCGAGCTGCTCGGCGGGCGGGAGCAGCCCGAGACCACAGCTACCGCCGCGGCCGCCGCGCCCGCCCGGACTGCGGGCTCGGGTTTCCGCACGGCGGCTCCTTAAAGGGGCCGCGGCCGCCCGGGCTCCGGCTCGGCTCCCGCTCCCGCTCCGGCTCCCGCTCCGGCTCCCGCTCCGGCTCCCGCTCCGGCTCCGGCTCCGGCTCCGGCTCCGGCTCGTGGCGGCTGCGACCCGCGGCCAAGGTGGGCGGGGCCCGGGCCGGCTGCGGGGGCCGACCTCCGAGGGCAGCGCTCGGTCCCGGAGGCGCAGAGCCGGGAACGCCCGAGGCGAGCACGCCTCGCCGGGGACCGGGCGTGCGGTTCCCCCGCTTCCCACAGCGCGAGCCAGACTCGCAGGTGAGGACGGTCCGAGCCCTGTTCCGCAGCGGGCAGGACCTGGGCTCACCACGTAATGGAGACTCTTTTCAGATTAGGACTTTATATTATATTTATAAGCGAGAGGACAGGAGAAGGCCAGCTGCAGATTTTCCGTGCCACGTCTGACTTGGCCAGAGCCGAGTCCGCCCAGTTCTTGCTGGGGTTGCAGGTGCATCCCAGCTGGGTAGGGGGCGTGTGTGGAAGAGGCTCGTCCTCCCTCCGAGCCGCCTCCTCCCGAACCCCTGAAAACCACCCCAGAGAGTGCCCTAGCCCTCCCCCTACACCCAACACCTGGAGCCCCGCTGCTGTCCCGGCGAGGATGTAGAATCTCAATTTTTGGTGCTGGCAGAGAATTCCAAGTTGCCCAGCGTATAAAGTCTGCCGTTCAATAGCAGCTCTCTGACCTGCTATATACAGCCTCAAAAACCTTCAAATATTCTCGATCAACAGGATGGAATTTTTTGAATACAATAAAATAATGAAGAAGTATATTTGGGCTGTTAGAATTTGCGAAAAGTAATCATGAATACTTTTTTTGGAAAGAGAGGAGTTCTAATGTTAATTAATAAGCACTACTCTTAATCATGTAGGGAAGTTATCTGTAAGAAATGTCTATCAATACAGTTAATATGTTTTACCTAATATTTACATGCACACACATACACATTAGCTAAACTAATCTCACTGAGGCTCAATTTCCTCATCTATAAAATGGGGATAATTCATAGTTACCAATCTTGGCAAATGTACCTCTGACTGACCTAGAAAGGCAAAGCCGAAAAGAAAAGAAAAGAAAAGAAAAGAAAAGAAAAGAAAAGAAAAGAAAAGAAAAGAAAAAAGAAAAGAGAAAAAAAGAAAGAGAAAAAGGAAAGAAAAAGGAAAGGAAAGGAAAGAAAGGAAAAGAAAGAAAAGGAAAGAAAGAAAGAAAGAAAGAAAGAAAGAAAGAAAGAAAGAAAGAAAGAAAAAGAAAGACAAAGCCTGTTGTTCTACCCTATAGGGACAGCGGCCTACTGGCAATCAAGCAGGGTGGAAGATCCTGCAGCCCCCAGCCCATTTCTTCTTTTTCTACCCAAGACTCTCAGGAAGTACTAGGGCAATAGTGGCCTTTGACCACAACCTGTCCCATCATATTTGCTTCACACAGTCCTTGACAACTTGGGTTTGGCCCACATATGCTTTATGTATTCATGGGGCTATAAGCTCACTCTGTGGTTGGTTGTGTGTGTACATCTGTGGGGGCAGTGCTACATACACAGATTGCACCTGTCCTCTCCAGACTCTGCCTCTAGATACCTCCTCCAGACCCTCCCCTGTGTTTGTCTGCAGTGGCTGATAGTTGCTCTGTTTTTTTCTGATAAATGCACCATCATTATGTTTAATATGCATATTTCCTAACACCCAAAGCAGTAGCCAAAGCCAAGTAAACCCACAAAAATCCACTCTATACTCTATGTCCCACTATATTCCTTCTTGTTAGGCCTCTACAAATGCACCATCAAATCTGCAGGATTGTTGTGAGATTACACAGAGCATGTCAGTGAATACATCAAGGACAAGGCCTGAGACAAGGAAAGGAATTCAGTAAACATTAGCTGGATTTTGAAACTTTTAAACTAATCAAAACACAATGACCTTAGGAGGTAGAAAACTATATCAACTGCATATTTTTCATCAAAACTGTAATGCAGCTTGATTTCTTTAAAAATATTCATTTCATTATTCACATTTAAGTCTTAACTGTGTTTTACCAAAGCTCTCCTTCCAAGGACAGTTGCCCCAAAGTCTGTTATTTACTATCTTAAGTTTTTCTCCTTCTTAACTGTGAGGTATCAAAGCTGACCTGCACTTCTTAAACTTTTGGTCATTGAAATAGTTCAGAGAAATGAAATTATCTTTCCTTAAAAAGAAAAAAAAAATACAAAAATTCCTTTAAGGCAAATCCCCCCCCCAATTTTTTTTTCTGCATACACTCTAGACAAGAAATATGGTTTATTGTTTTTGTTACTAGGTAAAGAAATAGGGTTTATTTTATTTGTTACTCTCTAAGTAATGTATTCTTGTTACTGTGTGTGTGTCTTGTTTTTCTTTTTTAATTCCATGATTAACATACAGTATTATATTGGTTTCAGGTGAGCAACATAGTGCTTCAATAATTATATATTCTCATTGCTCATCATAGGTGTACTCTTAATCCCCCTCACCTATTTTACCCATCTTTACACACATATACATACACACACTATATCTCCTTTATCCATTCATCTATCCGACACCTAGGTTGCTTCCATACTTTGGCTATTGTAAATAATGTTGCGATAAACATAAGGGTGCATATATCCTTTCAAATTAGTGTTTTTGTACTCTGTGGGTAAATATCCAATAGTGCAATTACTAGATCATATGGTAATTCTATTTTTAATTTTTCGAGGCAACTCCATACTATTTTCCACAGTGGCTGCACCAGTCTTGCATTCTGACCAACAGTGCAAAAAGGTTCCTTTTTCTCCACATGCTTGCCAGTACTTGTTGTTTCTTGTGTTTTTGATATTAGCCATTCTGACAGGTGTGAGGCCATACCTCACTGTGGTTTTGATTTGCATTTCTCTGATAAGTGCTGTTGAGCATCTTTTCATGTGCCTCTTGGCCATTTTTATGTCTTCTGTGGAGAAATGTCTGTTCATATCTTCATCCCATTTTTTAATGGATTGGCTTTTTTTTGGTATTGATATGATTAAGTTCTTTATATATTTTGAACACTAACCCTTTATTGGGTATGTCATTTGCAAATATTTTCTCCCATTCAGTGGGTTGTCTTTTAGTTTTGTTGACTGTTTCCTTTGCTGTGCAGAGCTTTTTATTTTGATGTAGTCCCAGTAGTTTACTTTTGCTTTTGTTTTCCTTGCCTTAGGAGACATATCTAGAAAAATGTTGCTATGACTGATATCAGAGAAATCACAGCCTGTGTATTCTTCTAGGATTTTTATGGTTTCAGGTCTCACCTTTAGGTCTTTCATCCATTTTGAGCTTATATTTGTATAGTATAAGAAAATGGTCCAGTTTCATTCTTTTGCATGTAGCTGTGCAGTTTTCCCAATGCCATTTGTTGAAGATAAATTTTCCTGATGAATTTGTTTTAAAAAATTCCTAAACTACTAAATGGAGGCAATTGTTTAGAAAAAGACCAAACGCTGTTTCTTCCTAAAATAACAAGATAATTAAGGCAGAAGTATTTTGGAAGACTGCCTCAATTCTCCACCCTCTTGTTAGAGAAGATATAACCAAAATAATAGCAAGCATTTTGATCAGAAAGATTGATTTAGTTAAAAATGAATAACCCCACGCACTACTTTTTAAATTAGTATTGATAGTTTTCATGTATCAAAAATTTGTGAGTTTTTAAAGTATTTAAAAGTCCTTTCATTTGTTTTTCAGAATTTTTCAAGAAAAAAATATTTCAGGATATTACCAATGGTTATCTCTGGGTGGGTAAGATCCTTATGTCTTTTGTGGGGTTTTTGCTTATCTTATGTAACTTTTTCCTATAATATGTATGTATTGCTTTTGTGTGTATTTTTAATGAAAGTAATACATATAAGTGAATACTCAAATAGTTCATAAAGGCTTATAACAAAAACACTTGAGTCCCATCAGCCTCTTAACCAATTTCCTCCCACCAGTTCCACCCCATGCTCCACATAACCCTACCAGGTGTTCATTTCCTAAACAATATGCTTATATCAATGTTTCCTGACTTCCATTTTTAGACATTATTTATTGACTTCTTGTCATGGAATTTTGAGGATCTAGCTCTTTTATGCATACCACCACCACCACCACTTTGCCCTTACGCTTCTCACACAGCTATGTCACAACTTTTATTCAAATCAATAATTTGTGTTTTGATCATTCTGTCAACATAAATACAGTACACTACTGAATCTAGTAAGCTGCCATAATGGTGCTTCTCTTGAAAATCTCCTGGTCTCCCTGGAGTTAATAATTGCTTTTCTTTTTCACTTATTTTTAATGTATCTGACCCAAATTTTATCCAGATGCTTCAACATATCAAACACCCATCAATAATATCTTCAATGCTCAAACATTGGAAGTTCACACTCTTATTTTGCTGAAGCACAGATTTCAGTAGTTGGAGAATGTGTATAGAAGATAAACTATTTTAGCGTGCTTGCATGTCTGAAAATATCTGTATCCTAATTCTCATCCACGATTGATAATTTGGATAAGATAAAGGTCATTTTTCCTCAGCATTTTAAAAGCACTGTCCCACTGTCTTTTACTTCTAGTGTTGCCACTGAAATAAATGCCTAATGTCTTTCTGGTTCCCCTTCTTCTGTATGTAGCCAGTTGTTCTTTCTAGAATCTTCCTATTATCTTTATAATCTGAAATTTCACAATGTGCCTTTTGCTTTAGAACGGGCCTTTTTTCTTTGATTGTGCTAGACCTCCAGGGGTGCTTTCAATCTTACCTGCAGATTTTTTTTTTATTATTATTTCTTTGCTAATTTCCTCCTCATTTTCTATGTTCTTTGTGAACTCTATTCAGCAGGAGGTTGGGACTTTTATTATTCTCTAGATTTATTGTGCTTTTATCCCACTGATTATCTCTACAGCTTTCTTTTCTTTTCCTTTTTTATTTAAGTAGGCTCCACACTCAGCATGGAGCCCAATGCGGGCCTGAATGAATTCATAACCCTGAGATTAAGACCTGAGCTGAGGGCAGCCTGGGTGGCTCAGAGGTTTAGCGTGCCTTCAGCACGGGGCGAGATCCTGGAGACCTGGGATGGAGTCCCACGTCAGGCTCCCTGCATGGAGCCTGCTTCTCCCTCTGCCTGTGTCTCTGCCTCTGTGTGTGTATGTGTCGCTCATGAATAAATAAATAAAATCTTAAAAAAAAAAAAAGACCTGAGCTGATATCAAGAGTCAGATG